CTTGTTTGTTCCTTGTCTACCTCCACAACAAAATGAGCTCCATGAGGGCAGATTTTTGTCTGTTTTGTTCACTGCAGTTGCCCCACTACCCAGATCAACGCCTAGCACACACCTGGCACTCCTTAAATATTTGCTGAATGACTAGCTTCCCCTCAGACTTCAATGCAATAAAAGTAACAAAAGAATAAACAAAAATTAAATCACTTGAAAATGTAAAAAAACTTTTTTTAAAAAGGCACTTCACCACCACCTCACTCAAACCCCTACCACTTTCCCCTTCAATCTCCACCTTTCAATCAGAAGGACTGTGGTAGGCAGAATAATGGCCTTCCAAAGATGTCCACACCCTAATTCCTAGAACCTGTGAGTGTGTTACCTTACAGGCAAAAGGGACTTGGCAGATGTGATCAAGGTAAGGACCTCGAGAGGGGGAGATTATCCTGAGTTACCCAGATGGACCCAATCTAGTCACTTAAAATCAGAAACCCTTTCCTGGCAAGTCAAGGGGAGATGTGAGTACACAAGAATAGTCACAGAGATGCAACAACGCTGGCTCTGAGGATGGAGGAATGGGCCACCAGCCAAGAAACAAGGGGAGCTTCCAGAAGCTGAAAAAGGCAAGGGAATGGATTTTCCCCTCGAGCCTCCAAAGAGGAATGCAACCCTACTGACACCTTGATTTTAGCCCCGTGAGACCCATGTCAGACTTATGACCTCCAGAACCATAAGACAATAAACTGGTGTTTTTTTAAGCCATTAAATTTGCTTCATAGACAGCTTCTCTCAATCTCACCACTATGGACATTGTGGGCCAATATTTCTTTGCTGTGGGGGCTGTCCTGTGCATTGTAGGAGGGTTAGCAGCATCCCTGACGTCTATCCACCAGATAAAGCACTTCCCCAGTTGTGACACCCAAAAATGTCTCGACCTTACCAAATGTCCCTTGGCAGGCAAAATCACCCTAATTGAGAACTACTGCCATTACCTGTCTGTTCTCTCTACTCGGAAGGCTCTTCCCCACCTTCTACCCAGGGCAGGCCCCTTCTTCTGGTCTCATCTTAAACTGCATCCTCAGAGAAGCCTTCCTTGACCAGCCTACTTAAAACCGATCTTCCTCACCCGGCTTCATGCTTGCTGTGTACTCTGCCCAGAGAGCCTCATGACTCCTTCCCTCGCCTCCTTCGAGTCTTTGCTCAAACATCACCTTTTCAGCAAGGCCTTCCTCAACCACTCTATAAAACTGCATCCCCCACCCCTCTTCATTTTTCTCCTCAGCCCTCAGCCCCATCTAACATAGTACACATTTTACTTACTGTCTGCTTCCCCTCACTACAACATAAGCTCCACCAGGCCAGGAGTTTGTGTCAACCTTGTTGTGTACCTGTGCCTGGAAGAGTGCCCGCCCTACACAGAGCAGAGGCCCAAAAAATACTTACTGACTCACTATCACAACGTCCTCTGGTTTCCTTCCTACATCTCACACGTGTTAATGAATTCAGCTCTGTTTCACATCTGTCTCTTGTATAACAATTGGTGTCACCACTATATCCTCAGCACCATATCTGCTATATGGCAACTGTTTATCGAACAAACGAATCCCTACGACAGCCCTTATGAACTAGATAATTACCTCCATTTGAGAGAAGAGGAAACCAAAGCTTAGGGAGACCAACTTGCCCATGTCAATCAGCAAGAAGTGGAAGAGCCAGAAATACAACAGCAGCCCGTCTGACTAGAGAACCAGAGTGATATACCCGGAACCGGGGAGGCTGGGCCCAGTGCAACCGCCCAATTTTACAGATAAGGAAACTGAGGCCCAAAGGAAGGATGGGACATCTTCAATCAGCACTCTCAGTAACTACAGCTAACATTTACTGGGCCCTCACAACAGGCCAGACATCGTTCTATTTTATTTGCGTGTATTATTAACTCGTTCAGTCCCTCACAACCACCCAATGAGGTTAGGACTATTATTAGCCCACATCTGATGGAAAACAGAGGCCCAGAGCGATGAAGTAACTTGCACAAGGTCACACGGCGGCGGGTGGGAGGTGGCGATGGGATGGCTAAACCTTGGAGCGCTAACTCTTCTCAAATCCTCGCCAGCCAGAGCCACTCTATTCCATTCACCAGAAACGCGTTAGCCCCTTTAGTAAACTGCCCGCACCCCAGTCAATGGGGGGGTATCTCAGAAGGGGAGCGGGGTTCTACCGTAATTGGCTCCTAAATCTGGCTAACGCCCCCGCTCCCCTTCGGGGATATACGCTAAAACTGGAGAGAGAAGGAGGGAAGGAATTGCAAAAACAGCCTCCATCTCTCGGTTCCCCCATTTAGAGAGTTTACCCCACAGCGCTGAGGCCCAGCCGCCAAAACCCAGAAAGGAGAAAACCTACCGGGGGCCAGACCAAGCAGGCGGCCCCTCCCCGACTCGGAGCAAGCCACGCGCCCTCTCCATCCCCCAGGGGGCACTGAAGGACCGCCGCCAATCACCGAGCCCTCGCCTCTACCCCCACCACCAGGCCAACCCCGGCCCTGGCCGCGGCCTCTGAGGCCCGGGGCCGCCGCGCGCTAGGCAGGCCCGGGACCCTCTAGGCTCGCCTCGCTCCCGCCCTCCGCTGGGCCGACACCCAATCCCAGGCACCGTTTCATCGAGTCCTGGGAGCCAGAGAGATGAGACCTGGACGCTGATTGGCCGCCGCCCCCTCCCTCCACCACTCCCAGCGAACGCGGAGCCTTCTCCGCGAGGGCCGCCCGTGACCCCATGTTCTCCTTCCCGTCTTCCCCAAGTCCCCCCGTGGCCTCCGGACCTGGACATCCTCGTTGCGGAGCTCGTCTATGAGCACCGCGATGGGGTAGAGCGAGTCATCGCCGTCGGCCGCCGCCATCTTGGCTCCGTCCGTTCCTGTCAGACTGCGGCCAGCGCCGTGCTGAAACCGGGATGGGGAGGGGCAGGGCTGAGGGGAGGAAAGGCGGGCGTGGGGGCGCCCGAGCCACTTTACAGGGGCAGCTCCACAGTCATTGGCCGCGCTACGCCAGGGCAAGGCCGCTTTTCTTTGGTTCGGACAAGCGAAGTCCCGCCCACCGCCCATTTGCCATTGGTCGAAGGGACAAGAAAGGCTTGCCGGAGCCAAGGAGTTGGGGGGAAGGAAGCGGAAGTATGAGGTATCTTAGCGACCAAAGTCGTACCCTCCTACGTTATACCTAGCAACGGCCAAGACGAGCAGTTGTTTCTAGCCAATGAACGGCAGGATTGGGAGGAGGAGAAGCCTGCCCTTCTGCGAGTCCTGGAGCAAGTTTCTGCGCATGCGTCAGTAGGAATGTATGACGTCATTTGGAGACCGAGAAGGTCTGCATGTTTTGGCTTGTGAGGTAGCGGCCCGCTGGCTGGTAGGCGGACGCCAGGTCCCTTTGTTTGGGGGAGGAGGCGGGAGTGAGTCCTTGGTTTATGCCTTGTGCCGAGGTCCAGAGAAGGGGGGCGACTTGCCTTACTCTCTGGGTTAAACCTAGGTCCCTCGGACTAGTATTCAAGGCCTTTGTGGATCATGATTCCTGAACCCTTTCTGGTTACATCTCCCATCTCCCCTTTTTATACGTCAGCAGTCCTGGAAAATTACCCCCCTGAGTACGTCATGCTTTTTCATGCCAACTAGTCTTTGTCCAAAACGTACCTTCTACTTGCAGAGCAGTTCCTATTCAATTGTCAGATCTCCACAGAAATGTCTCCCTTTCCCTCCCTTTCTTCAGACTTGGTCCTCAAGGCCGCGGAGCCACATAATCTCTCTCTCAAAATTCCCATCCTCGGGGCTGAGGCTGTGACCGTGTGTTAGAGTCTGTCGCTTCTCACAGAGTGGGGTAGGATTGGGACTGACTAGTCTCTGCTCCTAGGCTCACTCATCACAGCCCCCCCACCGGCAATCTTAGGATCACCTTAACTGAGGGAGTTGGGGATGGGCGATTGGAAAGCCTCGGGTGCTTCTGCACCCGTTTTTAGTGCCACTTGGAGGGCAAGGCTGAGCTAGGACTCCTGGACAGGTCTGAACAGCCCAAGCATCTTTTCCAAAGGCCTCTGCCCAGTCCAGTTAGGTTTATGAGTTTTTACCCTCAAAAAAAGTGGGAAGTGGTGGTGTTTCATACTTCAGTCCCTGCCCTCCATATATCCAGGGTCCTTCCCCACCCCACCAGCTCACTGAGACTATGGATCTTCTTAGCTGAGGGTGCACTTTAAATATCTTACAATTTTCTTTGTCAATTTATACCTTAATAAAACTGAAAAGAAAACAAAACAAAAGGCACGAGTGTGCCATGCAGAGGTAGCCGCTGCATCAGGCAGGTATAATCAGCAACTTCATTCTGGTCCGTCTTTTCAAAGAACGGGCCCTTAGCATAGGCATCTAAATGAGTGACCCAGACAGTTATTTTAGCGCTGCAATTTGTTTTCATGGTCCACAGCCCAAAAGAGGGGTGTCCTTAATCTGACCGTGCATAGTTTTCTAAGTGGCCTACTAAACAGCTAGACCACTGGCAGCTGTCCATGTGTCTGAGATCTGGCCAGTGAAGGGAGCAATCACATTTTGGTTCTGCAGAGCTGGCACTGAGACTAAACAGCCACAGTGGCCCAGGGGACACCATTAGGATTCAGCTTACCTAAACCATCAGTGAACCAGGGCCATGCGTTTAGGGGAATCTTGAGGCTTGAGGGTTCCTAGTGCATGGATTTGGCTACAGTGTAGAACTTAAAATTTCTTCCTTAGAGATAGGTACCACTTACTCTTGTAAAGCTGAGATGTCCCTGGGACCAGTCTGCCTTCATTCTTCTTCTTTTTCTTCTTCTTATTCTTCTTTTTTTTTTTTTTTTTTTGGTGAGGAAGATTGGCCCTGAGCTAACATCTCTTTCCGGTCTTCCTCTTTTCGCTTGAGGAAGATTGTCACTGAGCTAACATCTGTAGCAGTCTTCCTCTGTTTTGTATGTGGAATGCTGCCTCAACATGGCTTGATGAGTTGTGTGTAGGTCCGCACCCAGGATCCAAACCTGCGAACTCTGGGCTGCCCAAGCAGAGTGCACAAACTTAACCACTACGCCACTGGGCTGGCCCCCTTCATTCTTGAATATGCACTTTCCATGAGACACAGGACTTTTTGGGCCCTTCTGACGTTGTTAATAGTGAGTCCATGTTGACTCATTCCAAGATTGGAATATCATGCCTGTCAAAAAGGAGCCAGCAGACCCAAAGTGGAGTCACTTGTGCTAAACCCCATATCAGCAAATCAAGACTCAATACCTGACCTAATTACAGTTTGAAGCTCTCTTGGAGTGTAACCTTTGACCAGTCAACTTGGAATGACCTGGTCAGCACTAGTGAGGTAAGCTACCTGAAAGACGCATACTATTCCCTTTCAAATGGTGACCTTGCCTGAAACAATGCATTCTTTGCTAATAATTTCCTTTTTCCCACCCTATTTCTGGCTCTAAAAACCTTTCCTTTTCTATAGCCCTTTGGAGCTCCTCTCTAGTTGCTGGAGAGTGTTCTGCATGATTCACAAAGCCAATTTAATCTTTAACTTTACTCAGTTGAGTTTTTGTTATTTAACAGATTTAGTGGCAGTGGCAGGACCAGAGGAAACTTTTGATGGCTTTGGGGATGAGGGAGACAGGTGTGGTACCAAGGAACCCTGTTGAGTTCTCCGCCTTTCTTGCCATTTTCAGGGAGATGGGTAAGTTCCTCTCACTTCTGAGCCCTCCTCTCTTTGCATTGAGCTCCTGATCTAATTGGCTTTCCACGGTTCTGCATTTGACTGGAATCCCTCCCCCAATTCTCCCTCACTCTCCCCATATTCCACATGGGGAACTACTGGTGGTTATCTGACTAGGTCTGGAGTTAGGCTGGGTCTTATTTGAGCTGGACTGGGTCCAGTGTGAGGCATCAGGTGAATAAAATTTTGTTTTAAGTAAAAGATAGTGACTAATGGGAATCAGAATTAAAAAAAAAAAACCAAACATTTTTGGGCACAGGTTGAGCGTGAAACCAGGGGTCAAGTTCTTTAACAATACTCAATTAGTTGTCTGTTTGCAAAAGTAGTTAGATAATTACTAAAACCCACTGTATAGATAATATCTCTGACACATGGGTCACTATGGTAACAGGTGCTTAAGTTTTCAGAAACTGAGAGTCAACTCCTTGTCCAGTTTAAGCTGGTTAAGACTTAGGTCATCAGCTGGACTTGTGCAGATGACGAATAAGTGACCCTTTGATGTCAACGAGCTGAAAACTCCACCATCAGATCATGGTGATGCCACCATTTTGTGAATATGTGTCCTATGAAGAACCATGAAGCTTGACTATGCTTGCACAGATCATCAGTTCCGTCACTTCTCCTTACCTCCAACCATCTATTCCCACTTCAGACCACCCTGCCCCTTAATCCCATAAATATCCCTAATCTCCATTTTTTAGAGAGGTAGATTTGAGATTGGTTTTCCCAACTCCTCACTTTGCTGCCTTGTGATTAAACTCTTTCTCGCTGAAAACTCATCATCTCAGTGATTGGCATAATTGTGTGGCGGGCAAAATGAACCTGGTTTGGCAACAATTTGGTGAACCATCCAGGAGGGAAGTCCAGATGGACCTTTGATCCATGGTTCATTGGCCCTTTGCCAGTGTGGAGAACCTGTGGATGAGTCTAGCAACTTCCAGGAACACCTGACCCAGGGACTCTTCTGGGATGTTTTCCTGACTCAGTGCCACTGACCCCAGTGCATAATTTCATTTTTTGCAATAAAGAAACAGAAGCCTGTAGCCCTCTAGGCTGCATTCCCTAAAATGGGGCGACTTTAGCTATGAGCCAATGAAAAAGGAAAAATCCATTTAAAAGGTAAACTTAACCCTTCCAGTTGCTAAAATGAAATTTGGATCCCATTGTTTTATAAACTGGTAAGTTTTGTATTGTACCTTATACATTGGAGGTTGTAGGGTCTCTATGTCTACCTGTGTGTTCATATATGTATATATGTATAAGTTGTATGCATGTACAATAAATGTATATGTTGTAAGTCTCAGATGTTTTTCTATCTCCAGAGGGTATGGCCAAAATTAAGAGCTCTATTTAATTGACTTAAAGTAAGTGCTTATATAAATTGTTCCTAAATCTAATAGAAACTAACCCAAATGTTTTTCAAGCTAAAATGATATAAATTAATCTTTGGTAAATCAAAGCTTGTTTAAGTTTGTTGGTTTGATTGAAATAGGCATGTCCTCAGAATTGTCAACATTGAATATGATGCAGACATGCAGGGTTTATGGTCAAATAAGCTCAAGTTATTTCTGTTACAAAGTTTGTCAGCAAAAATAAGCAAATGATAAATTAATTTTGTCTAATGTCTCATGAAGTTTTTGTGGGTAATCTAAACATAGTTATTGGGAGCAAATGATTTAGATGTAAGTGAAATAAGGGATTATAGATAAACTTTTAGCAATAATTATATTTTATGGCATATGTATTCAAAATAATTCCCATAATCTCTTTGGTAACTTGAAACTTTGAAGTGTTGCCTGGTTAAATTAAATGATGGAAAATTCATTGAATATCTAGATCATTTCTAAATAAGAAAAAACATTAGACATTAATTATTAATATAGGTTTATCTACCTTTGGCTTCTTATTACAGAGAAACTAAAAGATGTTTCGGTTTATCAGTAAACATGTCTTGTATTGTATTTAAAAATTGTACTATGATATAGTGTGTTTCTAGAAATTATAAAAAGTATTTATAGATTTGCCATGCCACAGAATACTAATTTAAAAGACAGTTTATAATTGTTTACTTCTTAGTTTTCATTAAAAATTAAGATCTGTAAGGGTTAAGAATTATAGTTGAGATATGTGATTAAAGCTACTAAAAATTAATAAGGAAAACATCTTTGTATTCAAGGAAAGTTAGATGTGTGTTTTCAGTAAAGAAGGTATAAAGAATTGAAATATTTTTGTTTGTTTTGTTAAGAAAGATAAATTTGTCCTGAAGTACTAGGAAAGAAAAAAAGAAGGCATAAGACAAATTCTTAATGTAAACAGCAAGTGACAGAAGGTTTATGGAAGTAAAACTCTAAGAAAAGCTTTGTGCATGGTCAAGTTGGCTAAGACTAAAATGAATTCAGTTAAATGAGTAAGTTTTAATATCAAAAGTAAGCTGATGCAAAATTGAGTTTTTTTTCTATCTCATAAAGGGATAATTTTCCTGGACTTTCAGTTTCCTCTTGAGAAAGAGATTATAAAATATTTTTCTTTATTTTGGAGTAAGTCTACGTAAAAGACAGAATCAATGCTTGGTCAAAATAATCTCCTGTGTTCAAAAACCTGAGGTGTCTCTATTAAGAAAACTGGTTTGTTTGTTTTTTAACTGTTTAACTTGGTATGTTTTCCTTCAACATCTTTTGCTGTCACATTGGTTAAATAGATAACTAAGCATTGTTTCTTATTTTACCAAGTGTTTTTAAACCATTTGATATTTTTGACAAACTTCCCCAAAATTCAAATTCTAAGTAAAGTCTTTCTTTTTTTGAGAATTTCCAGTGAGGCCTGGGACTTCTCAAAGAATTTATTCTCTCTTTCTATAAAGAGGGCAATATTAAACTAATTAAGCTTATTTAGTATGTTAAATTACATGGAAGCCTTGACAAATAAGTGGTGATAAACCTTCTTAAGTTATATTGTGTGGGTTAATATTAGTGATATAAATGTTTTAAAAATTATATAAAATTCTGATCTGTCCTGGTTATCAGTTATAATTCCAATTATTCTATTAAAATTTTATATGTGACAGAAATAGCCAAGTTTCTTTGTCAATTGCCATTTTTAAGTCTTTTGTCATTTACAGACAGTTATTGTTTTACTCTGATGCTTTTGCAAAGGTTTCATCTTCAGAGAGCTTCATGGAAAGGGCTCTGACACATGGAGAGTACTCTGACACTCTAAAACACAGGTTTCTGATAAACTTTCAGATCATAAAATTGAACTGGGTAAGAAGTTACAAAGTGCAAATGGAGAAACTAATGACTCTGTGAAACTGCTAACAGAAGATCAAGATCAAGAGTTGATTACATGAGACTGAATGAACTGATGAGAATGATTATAATTTTTATGACTTTGAAATATTGCTCATTTTTTAAATGTTTTTTCCAGATTTAAGGAAACATTTTTCTCTTTTATCTTAAGCTAACTGTGACTTATAGCAATTTGGTAAATTATACCTCAGTAAGCAGAATTGAAACATTTATTTTTTTCTCTCTAGCTGATCCCTCTAGAATTTGGAAACTCTTAGCAAGTGAGCAGTCTTACTTTCACGGCAATACGGTTATTTACATAAGTTCAAAAGCTGGGATCCCTGTAAACAAAGTACCAGGCCAATTTCCAAGTGGCTTTATTTCATAAAGTCAATCTTTGTTCAAAGAGCTTTAAGCTATGCATGAGCTGAGTCTATCCATCTTCTTCTCAAATATGACATCCCAGTCAAAGCCTTGGTAATACAGCCAATGTTTCCAATTGTGTCCTATCATACAGTGAAGAGATTCTTTTTTTTTTTCTCTCTGTCAGATCAGGTTAGTAAACACTTAACTATAACATTAAAAATAAAGGGAAAGAAAACACCAAAGTAATCTTGCCATTTTAAGCAGAAACTCACAAACAAGATGGAATAAGTTATGACAATAACAACTTAGAAGGGGAAGAGGAAAGAGATGGAATTGGCTTAGTCTAAGGAAATAAGAGGATGTCACAAATGGACTATCTCGTCTATGAGATCTCTTTGTACAGACCTAATGGTAATCACTAAACAAACTATTAGAACATAGACACAAATGAAAAACAAGGAGAAAACTAAGAAAACTACCATAGAAAACTACCTATGCAAATTAGTAATCTGAAATGCAAGGGACGAGAAACTAAAGAAATGCAGAAGAACCAAAAAACTAGTGATAAGCTGGTAACATTAAACCCTCACATATCAATAATCAGTCTAATGTAAATGTATTGAATTCTCCAAGCAAAAGACACAGATTGGAAATGTGGATTAAAGAACAAGACCCAACATTATGCTGCCTCCAGGAAACACATCTCAGCTACAAAGACAAACACAGGCTCAGAGTGAAGGGATGGAAGATGATACTCCAAGTTAATGGCAAACAAAAGAAAGCAAGTGTCACCATATTTACATCAGACAAAGGAGATTTCAAGATAAAATAGGTAAAGAGAGACAAAGAAGGGCAGGGCAGTATATAATGGTAAAAGGGACACTCCACCAAGAAGAGATAACACTTATAAACATTTATGCACCCAAGACAGGAGCATCAAAGTATATAAAGCAACTATTAACAAACCCAAAAGAAGATATTAATAACAACACAATTATAGTAGGGGACCTCAATACCCCACTTAAAACAATGGGTAGATCATACAAAAAGTCAACAAAGAAATAGTGGCATTAAATGAAGAACTGGAACAGATGGACTTAATAGGTATATGTAGAACACTCCATCCAAAAACAGCAGAATACACATTCTTCTGAAGCGCACATGGAACATTCTCAAGGATAGACCATATATTGGGAAACAAGGCAAACTTCAATAAATTTAAGAAGATTGAAATCATATATAGCATATTTTCTCACAATAATGCTGTGAAACTAGAAATTAACTACAAGAAAAAAGCTGGGAAAGGAACAAAAATCTGGAGAATAAACAACATGCTACTGAACAACCAATGGATCACTGAAGAAGTTAAGGAGAAATCAAAAGACATCTGGAGACGAATGAGAACAAACACACACCATCCCAACTCATATGAGATGTAGCAAAATCAGTCCTAAGAGGTAAATTTATAGCAATACAGGCCCACGTTAACAAACAAGACAAAGGTCAAAAAACCAATCTTAAAATACACCTAGCAGAATTAGAAAAAGAACAAACAAAGCCCAAACTCAGCAGAAGTT